TTCTATGGATTTGCCAATTCTGGATATGTCATAGAAATGGAATCAGACAACATGTAACCTTTAGTGTCTGGCTTCTTCACTATACTATTGATTTTTTCTATTGTAACAAAATACACATAAAATTTACCATTTCAACCATTTTTAAGTGCACAGCTCAGTGACATTAAGCACAGTCACACTGCTGTGCAGCTATCATCACCCTCTGTCTCCAGAGCCTTTTCATCTTCCCAAGCTGAGACTCTGTCCTCACTGAGCAGTAACTGCCCAGCCCCTCCCCAGTCCCTGGCCCCCACTCTCTTACTTTCAGTCTCCGAGTTTGATCCTTATAGGAAACACATATGAGTGGAGTCATAATTATTTGTCCTTTTGTGGCTGGCTTATTGCACTCAGCCTAATATCCTACGGTAACAGTACTGATTTTTGTAAATTGGCCTTTTATTCAGCAATCTTATCGGACTTATCCTTGAGTCTTCCCATCTATTCTGGTGGTTTTTCTGGACAGATGATTGTGTTTGCTGCAAATAGCATTGACTCTCATCTCTTCTCTTATAATCCGTAGCCTCTCATTTATTTTCCTTTCCTTACCATGTTGGCCATAATCTCTGGTCCTGTGTTAGGCAGCAGCCATGATATGGGGGAACCCTTGACCTGATCCAGATCTTAAAGTTTCTCCAGTTAGTGTAAAGTTTGCTATGAGGCTTCAATGTGTGAACTGTTTCATGTTAGTGAACTTCATTCACTTCTATTGCACATTTGTTAAGAGGCACTTTAAAAATCACAAAAAGGTTTTGAGATCTATTTAAAGCTTTTTTTGATTCAGTTGAGGTTACCACATTTTCCCCTTTAATCTGTCAAACATCCTTGCATGCTATGACAAAGCCCATTTGATCGTGGTGCATTAACACATTGCTGCATTTCAGCCGTTGCAGAGAGGACCTTGACAATGAAAGCCAAACCCAGCGTGCCTCCCACTGCACAACAGGGGCCACATCCCCACACTTGACCTTCCTCAGCCCTGACCCCTTAGCCTTTCCTCATCTGTGGGAGAGTGGGCAATGCACAGGAGTCAGGGACAGCCCAAGACACCATGCGCAGAACAGACGTCCAAACACGTCAGGAGACTGCCTACTGCCCTCATCCTCTGCGCTGGGCACTGGGGTCCAGCAGTGGACACCACGGGCTGGTCCCTTTCCTGATATCTGGGGCATCATGAGGTCCCCTTGGAATTGCAGGGACCACTGGTGGAGCCCTCACAGGGACTCAGATGTCAGCTTGCTGTAATATGTGAATTCTAGTGGCATTTAAGATGCTCAGGCAGTTCTCAGCGAATCCAAGCAAAGGGATACAGACAGCGTTTCAGAAAACAAATCATTATCACACGCAGGGAATGGGGCACATGTCTCATCGTTTCCCGTGGAAAACATGACAGGAAAAGCGATTACTGTCTGACGTATAAGATGTCTGAAGAACTGACGCATTAGAATCCTCAGGCCTCGTGACACCGTCTTCACAAGGGAACCAGCTCCGGATGCTGCGCTTGGGCAGGCGCCCAGAACCAAGAATCAGAGAAACACAAGCAAAAGCATCCGTGGGGCGAAGTTTGTTGGAGTTAGTAACGCTGCTGGGGCGCCGGCACCGCCAGAGAGACAGGTGAGGAGCATCAACCCCAGGGCGCAGCCATGGGTCTCGGGGTGTGGGCTTGTGGCTCTCACTCGTTGCGGGGACAGTTACGTCTGGGGAGCAGGGCCAGAGCATACGGAGCAAAGATCAGATCTGTGGGGAAACCACAACGTACAGGAGTAGTTGGCAATGGACGAGACACTTCTGCATGGACAAGACACCCCCGCCCTGGCAGGAGTGACAAGTGGGGGCTGCAAACCAATGCCAGGAGGAGCCGTGCCTCCCGGGGCCGGTCTGAGGATGGGTGACAAGCAGGTCCAGGCCAGAGACGGTCAGAGGGAGTCTGCAATGCTGGAACCGTGGCCACATCTCCCAAGAGCTGAGGGGTCAGAGGCGCTGTGTGTGCCCTGGAGCAAGCACCAGGGCAGGGGCCAAGGGTCCAGCCCGCACGCCGCAGGGGCACCAGTCTGCCCTGCACCGGGGCTGGTGTCAGAGTCGGCTGCCGTCAGCCCAGCTGGAGACTGGCTACACATCCAGCTTTCCATCCTGCCCCTCTGGACCCGTCGCCTCTGTTTGCAGGGACATCTCAGATGTCCAGGTGGGGAAGGGCAGTGTGGCGGTGAGGCTCTTTCAGCCCTCGGGGACATCATACTGCCCAGCGGCTGGCAAGACCTCCTCGGAGCAGGACCTCCGACCGCCATGGACCATAGCGGTGGGACGGCCTCTCCCATGAGGCCCGGTGAGCCGAGCTTCTGCAACCTCGGAAGGCCATGGGTGCCTTCTCCCCAGGATGGGAGGGACACTGTGACGCCGTGTCAGCTCAGCAGTGCTTCCCTCTGGACTGCCATGTGGCCTTGAGGAGCCCACAGTCTGGAATCCTAACTGTCCCAGCTCCACCCGATGAACCGCCAGGCGCCTGGCACCCCAGCCCAAGCAGGAGCTGGGAGATGCAGATGGGAGAGATGCCTGCAGCCCTGGCCCCTGGGGAGCTGCCTGGGGCCGTCAGCAGCAGGGCGGCCAGGCTGGGAGGGTGCAGAACATGGTCGTGGGGGCTTAGAAGGGGACACGACGCTTCCTGTTCTCCATGGGTTCTCCTCAGAGCTGGCTCAGTCCCGCGGGGAGAGGCACCATCCCTTAGAGCAGTGAGCTCCTGCATTTACCAGAGGGGCCGGTGGCCACGAGCCGGGCAGTGGGAGGCCACCGTCGGTCACCCATTCACCTGGCAAGAGCCAGGGAGCCTCCCTGGGGGCAGGAGCCCACAGCACACGTGGCACACAGGCTGGGTCCTCCCCAGCGATGAAGCAGTTACTCGTGGCGGGGATGTGTGCAGCCGTGAGGAGGAATCACCACCACGCTGACCCGCACGGGCTGCTGGCCACGCTCCCTGTCACATGTGTTTCCATGTGTCGATGTGAATCAGTAAATCCTGGGTGAAACCCAACTGTGCTCTTTCCGGAAGCTCAAGGCCGGGCCGTACCTCCTCCCACTGTTGGTGTCGCACGTGCACTGCACACGGTGTTCTGGCTGCACACTGCACTCTCTACTGCACTTTGTGGATGCTGTGTTTTTCACAAACTGAAGTTCTGCAGCAACCCTGCACTGTCAGGTGATGGTTAGCATTTTTTAGCAACCTTATTTTTAAATTAAGGTGCGCACATTGCTTTTTCAGACGTAACGCTGCTGCACACAGTAAACTGCAGTGTAGTGTGAACATCACCTCACACGCACGGGAAACCGGGCATTCATGTGACCAGCTTTCTCGTGAGCCTCACTGCGTTGGCTGGCCTGGAACAGAACCCCTGGTGCCTTCGAGGCTGCCTGTGTCACCTGTCCACAACAGGGTTGGCTCAGGTTGGTTTCTGGGGTATTGGGTGAGTGCCTTGCCTCCTGTTTCTGATGAGAATTCCTGGGATGAGGTCAGAGAGCCAGCGCCCTGGGCAAGTGGCTGCCACTGTGCTGGGCTCACGTCCACTTTACAGTAGCCTCGAGGCTCCTCCCATATCTGATCAGGAGTGGGGCTGGAGAATCAGCCCCCAGGCTCTGCAGGCTGGCTGCCTCCTTGGGCCCCCATGGAGGGGCAGGCACTGGGCCTCTTCAGTGCTGCTCCCTGGGGACACTGGGACCACCTCGCAGTGTGGGACCACGCTCTTGCTCCCAGCCAGAGCTGCAGGGCCTCCCTCCACCTGTCTGGGCTGTGCCCCTGCCTCCTCCCCTCCCACCTCCCACCTGTCTTCCATGCTCTCGAGTGGAAGCAGTGTGTGCTCGTGCCCCTGGGGCTGGTGGCTGTGCGGGGTTGCGCAGGGCTGTGGGGTACCTGTGTACCTGGGAGCCTGGGGGTGTCTGTCAGCTCCTTGCTCCCCAGCTGGCTCAAGTCTCTGGAAGAGTGTGGGTCAGGCTCCGTGGTGTGCACCCCTCCATGCACCCTGACTGTGGGCCCAGCACCCAGAAAGCAGAGGGGACCGGGGCTGCGTGGGTGACGGCCCTGGGCACTTGGAACCTGCACCTACAGGAGATTCCTGGGGATTAGTGAGAGACACAACTGCTACCCAGCTTCCTTGTTCCAGGGCAGCCCAAGGGCCTGGGCAGGAGGTGTCCTGGCTGGAATCCAGGCAGAAGCCAAGGGCCAGCACTGACCAGCCTGGGGCCAACTCTGGGGTCCATCCCTGCACAGGCCCAGCCCACTCAGCCAGCAGCCACCTGCTGCTGTGGCTGAAAGAGGCAGGGCTCCGCTGTGGCCTGGGGGCAGCTCCCTTCCTGGCCTGTAAGTCCCTCTGGTTGGGGACTGCAGGACACGCCGCAGCCCCCAAGGCCTCCTCTAAGGGGACCAAGGCTGGTAGTGGTGTGCCACCAGGAGAGGCCTACAGGGTTCCCGCCACTGTCCCTGAGCTCAGGGGGCGGTTGTGCTGTGTCCTGAGGCCGGGCCAGCACAGGGTCGGGCCGGGGGGCGGGCTGAGCGTTCTGCCCAGCCTGACCCAGAGGCTCCCTGCTGCCTCAGGCCTCCCTGAGAGCCACCCTTGGGCGTCTCTCCAGGCCACGGCCCTCGCAGGCTCCAGGTGCTCCAGGGCCACGGGCCCCTTTAATCACCTGCACCTCTTATCACCTTGTCAGCACACAGAGGCCCAGGCATCAAGACACATCCTGCGCAGGGCTTCCCACGCCCTCTGCGCTGGGGACAGATGTCTAAAGTCCCTCAAGCATGGCCTTCTGCCGGGTGGGGTGTCTGAGCTCTACATTGCCATGAAACCCGAAATCCGCAAGGCACATCCAGGTCCCCTCCCACGGCTTAGGGCCCCCACGCCAGTGACCCTTCCTGGCCAGTTGGCCACTACAGTTTGCTTATGTGCCTCCATGGCTGTAAGAACCTTCCGTGGCCTTCGTCCTGGTGAGCTCTTAATTGCCAAATAAACATTTGCCCAGGGTGGGGCTTGGTGCTCAGGGTTAAGTATTAAATGGGCTGAAAGTCAGAGGACCCTGTGGCAGCCCTGTGGGGCCCAGGCAGCCTGGGGTGGGGGATTCCAGCCCGGCCTGGGGTGAAGGCCAGCTCAGGGACTGGGGAGGACAGAGGCAGCGGGAAATCCTGGAAGTATGAGGCTCACGGGAAGCCACCAGAGGTCACCCCAGAGGTCAGCCAGAGTGCTGCAGGTCCTGGCAATGTGGGAAGGGGCAGGGAAAGGCACTTCCACATCGACCATGTGTCAGTCATGTGCTACTAGGTAACAGATGACCCCCAATGCATCGACCATGTGTCAGTCATGTGCCACTGTGTAACAGACGACCCCCAATGCAGTGCCTGGAGCAGCAGCATCGCTGACGTGTCCCAAGGCTGCCTGGCTGGCCAAGTGGGGCTCGGAACTCATTGCGCAGCAAGGGTGACCACAGCCACTGGAGACCAGCCTTGAAAGTTTCGTCCTTTTGCCACATTGTGTCCACTCAGAAGTGAGTCGCAGAGTCGGGAGGGAGGGTTGCTCGGGTGGTGGGCCCCCTTGGCCCTGGGCGGGGTCAGCGCACTGGGCTGGTTTTGCTTTGCTTTCTCTCGGAAGCCCACTTGCAGGTTTTGTTTTTGCTGATGGACTGGAGGTTGGTCGAGAGTGTAAAGTGGGAGGGGTTCTGAGAAGACACACGTAGCGTCCACGCATTCAGATGCCAGGCTGCATGCTCTCGACCGGGGGGCGGCTCCTGGCACTGTTGCCTCACAGCTTCTTGCCCACAGGATCATGGGGACATGGGTCCTCGTCTTCTCAAGCATTCCACCTGCTTTTCACAGGAACATGTGCGCTCTCACCCCATTCGCTTATGTCACTCCTCACAGCACCTCTGATGCAGCCCGAGTCTCCCCAGCGAGACTTTGTGCCAGCTTGGCTGGGCCACAGGGAGCCCGGATACATGGTCGAATCACATCCCGGGGGTTTGGGATGAGACTGGCACTTAAATGGGGGGACAGACGAAAGCAGGTGCCTACCTGTGAGGTGGGCCTCATCCGATCCGTTGAATAGAACAAAAAGGCCAACCCTCCCCACTAGAGGGGACCCTCCTGTCTCCGGGCTCAGACCCCACCCACTCTCCTGGGCCTCAAGCACACTGCGGGCTCTCGGCCTCGCAGACCGCCAGTTCCTCGCCATAAACCCCTTTCTGTCTGCGTGCATCCTGCCACCTGTGTTTCTGGAGAACCCGTCTGGGTGAAAAGAGAGGCTGTGGCCACCATGTGGGGTCAGCTGGCGGAGCTCAGGGGCTGGGGGATCACCTGGGGGGCTCCGGTGTCAGTCAGGGAGGAGGTGAGCCCACAGGAGACCCTCCCGAGGGTGTGATCCGGAGGGAGGGGTCTGGGACGGCCAGGACAGGGAAGGAGCAGCCTCTGGCGCGTACTGGAAGACACAAGGCCCTGTGTGGTTGGCAGGCAGGATGCCCAGCGCCGAGTTGGCCAGGGCCACTCTCCACTGCTTGGGGTCGGGCCTCAGGAGGCCCCAGGACAGGCAAGCACTGGGTGTCACACATTGAGGAAGCATCCCCTTCTCCTCCCCAAGGGAGGGGGCCTCAGGGCCAGTTCAGGAGCGCCCCCCCACACCCCTGTTTCTGTGCCTCCCGGAAAGGGCCCAGGCCCGGTTCTCCCCTCACTGGAGGGCCTGGGGCTGCAGACGCACTGGCCAAGCTGCCTGCTGGACAAGGGCGCCTCCTGCATGCCGGCTTGAGAATGCGCCACCCTCAAGGGACAGGCCTCCCAGGACGGCACTGGGGACCTTGGGCCCAGACAGGGCGGCCAGGCGCAGAGGCAGCCAGGCATGGTCATCGCAGCCCACTTGAGGTTTGCTAACGACAGTAGGAGGCGTGGTCCCCCGGCCAGGCTGGGGCCCTGGGGCAAAGGTCAGATGCGCTCTCTGGCTTTCAGCTGAGTGGGTGCAGGCGGGCCCGGAGGTCAGCCTGGCAGGCCAGGCGCCCGTGAGGCCGACACCCCCAAGGTACTGCCCATCCAGCCCTTCACCAGGTGACCGCGCCCTGCAGCCCACAGCTCCTGGGGGGCTCGGGGTGACCCCAGCCCCACCACAGGGAGCCAGCACACCCGCTGTGCACTGGGAGCCATGGGAAGGACCCTGGGAGGTGAGCACAGGGTGGAGCAGCTGGTCTTCAGAGGACGAGCAGCCCACAGCCCAGGGAAACGGGCCTGGTTGGGGAGGGCTTGCTAGGGGTGGCGGGTTGTAAACAGCTGTTAAACTCTCCTTCTGATTGTAGGTGATTGGTTAGATGATGACTAAGCCTCCACCAGCGGGGGAGGGGGGGCCTATTTGGAGGAGTTAGGACCTTCACCTGCTCCTCCCTGGGCCCCAGACACCCAGCGGGGGCCGGGCAGGGACAGGCCTGAGGGGCGCTTTCTTAGTGGGGAGGAGCTAGGAAGGGCAACCCCCTGGGAACACAGGGTGGATAATTGATGAGTAGCGGGAAGAGCTGGTCCTGGGCACGCCTGCTCCCTTGGGTGGCCCTGGGGGACCCGCCTTCCTGAGCTGACGCAACAGAAAGGACCCACAGGCCTTCCGGGAGCCCCAGGAGGCAGGCAGGCTGTTTATGCCTCAGGCTCCACTGGGCCCTCCTGGCTGGAGGCTGGTGGCGAGGAGAGGGCCTCCCCTTTCCGCTGTGGCAGGATAGGAGGGGCTGGGAACCCTCTGAACAGGCAGCTGTGTTACAGGGAAAGCTGAGCATGAAGAAGGTCCCTGGGTTTCAGGAGACAAGACACAGACCAAAGACTGGGACGGTCAAGGCCGAGGCAGCCGAGCCACTCTGTTTCCCCGACGGGAACATCTTCCCCAAATCGTGGCATTGGCCCTGATGTGTCTTCAGTTGTCACCTTGTCCCAGGTGTGATTCCTGGGACCACCCTGCAATCAGGTGCAGAGTGTCCCCCACAAGGAGCCTTCCAGCTGCCCTGCCAGTGGCCCCACTTCCCACTGTTATCTGTTACTTCAGGAATAATTTTGTCACTTCAGGAATAAGTGGGAACTTCTGTGACTGGTTTCTTTTCACCCAGCAAACGCCTTTGAAGCCACCCTGTTGCCACTGGTGGTATTCCACCGTGAGGCTGCTCCACAGCTGGATTATCTGTTCTCCCACTGAGGGACACCTGGGTTGTCTCCAGGTTTTGGCTTTTACAAATAAAACTGCTGTGCACAGTTGTGTATAGTTTTTTGTCTGGACATCAGTTGTCATTTCTCTGGAATAAATGCCAGGAATTCAGTGGCTGGCTTACGTGGTGAGTGCATGTTCAGTTTACAAGAAACTGTCAAAACAGCCTTCCTGAGCACTATCCCGTTTCACGCCCCACCAGCAATGCAAGAGCAGTCTCTGCAGCCTTGCCAGCGTTTGGTGTCATTGCTGCTTTTAATTTTAGGCATTCTGATGGGTGTGTGGCAGCACCGCACATGGTTTTAACTCATGTGTCTCTGGCTCACGGTGCTGAGCATCCTGCCATCTGTGCAGCTTTTTCAGTGAAACGTCCTCCATGTCCCTTGCCCACCTTCCAATATTTTAAACTATTTACAAGTGTAATACATTCTATTTCCTTTTAAACTTTATCTGAATTAACAAAATCCTCCCAATTAAATAACTGATCGATATCTACATGAATTAAACTTATACATAGGTCATTCCAAAAATTATCTTGAATCTTCAACATTTACATGCGTTTAGTAGGATTTCATCTTAAAGCAACAAACCTCAATAATGCCCTTGCTTGAACAATGATTCGGCGGCAAGGCTGGCCATCTCAGTAAGACAAGTTCCCTCACGCGTTACAAAGCACGTGCTGCTTCCATTTCAGCACAAAAAATATCAGGCCTGACTTTTTGATTCTCCTAGCCCGCCCTGTGCTGAATCAGAGTCCCCGGGGTGGGGAGGCACCCACTCGGGGGCAGTACCCTCGACCTGAAGATTTCTGTGGGATGCTGGACAGATCGTGGCTCCAACTCCGGCCGGTTTGCTGGGCACCGGCCCGCGTCCCATCACGCTCCCTGTGGCCTTCAGGGAGCATCCCTACATGATCCCTGTATGGGATTTTGCATTTCTGTGGCCCTTGAGATAGTAAATATATTTTCCATTGTAGTCTGAAAATTATTAATTTGAGAGCTCCTAAGAGATGCCCTTATATTCCCCACTTAACCTAACAGGGTTAGGGCCATGTGGCTCGTGTCCCCAGAACCTCTCTCTTGGCCTTGTCTGGGCCACAGGGGCCACTCCCCATCAGACACTGATCTGGCACGGACATTCCCTTGGAGTTGACGATGGGCCCTCAGCCCAGTGAGAGCGGCACGGGTCCAGCACCAAGGTGAAGTTCACAACTGCCAACCAACCATAGGCTGCCAAACCGCTTGCTCAGAATATGTAGACACCTTCACGAAAGAAACTGAATTTACAGTTAAAAACCATCTCATAAAGAGAATTCCAGATCCAGATGGCTTCACTGGTGAAAATTCTACCAAGGAATCAAGGAAGAAACAAGACTGATCTCTGCTAACTGGTGCAGAAACCTGAAGAGGACACAACCCTCCCAACCCGTTCTGGGAGGCCACCGCGACCCTGACAACTAACGCAGGCTTCCAAGAAAACCACAGGCCAGCGTCCTTCTCGAAACAGATACAAACAGATGCAAAGACTCTTAGCAAATTCTCAACCTGGAGAATTTTAGCCAACTGTATACAGCAATATATAAACAGGATAACATATCATGACCAGATGGGGTTTTCTCAGCAATGTGAGGCTGGTTCAATGTTAAAGAATCAGTGTGATTCACTACGTGAACACACTCAAAAAGAAAAACCACCTCAATAGATTTAAAAAAAAATTTGACAAAACCCAACATCCATTCCTGATTAAAACCAAACCAAAAAACAAATAAAAAAAAAGTAGGAGAGAACTTCAACCTAGTAAGATGTGGGTCCCCTGTGGACCTGTGGGGTGTGACTATGGATAAGACTTGCAAGTAGAGGTGTCAAGGGGGCAGTGGGTTACGTGAGACTTCAAGAAACTCCCACACAGAAAGATAAAAGTTGCAGACAGTTTTATTGTTCATTTCAGGAACTTTATGGGAAAAAACCATAAATACCAAGTTTCCAATACATCCCACGAGAGGACTCCTCAGACCCCTTGCCTTGCTGTGTCCACCGTCCCAGGGACCCTCACCCAACGCAAACCAGGCCTCCGCCCCACTGAATGCCTACCTTGGCCCAGACCCAAGCCTCTGGCTCAGGACTCGGCAAAGACTCAGTCAAGAACAAGCTCACTGTCCCATCTGCAGATTTATTTGAAGCATGTTCAGGGCGCCCACGTTTGACATTACCGAGATGCACTGGAGAGAAAACGTCACCCACATGAAATAAGGCACTAACGGATGATGTGACATGAGGAGACTTGGGGCTGAAGTAGGTAGGCTCAGCAGTAAATACACCGGAAAAACACTGCACCCACTGGTCTTCAGAAAACAACCGAGAGCGGGAATGAACAGAGATACATGAAGCAGCCCTGTGGCACACACAGTTGGCAGGTGCAGGGCCCCAGGGGTGCCAATGGCGGGTGGCAGGGAGACTGCTTTAATGAGGCAGGACCACCGCCCAAGGCCACGTCTCAAATGTCCTGGTTTATGGGGTCAGGCTACTCCTGACTGCAGGGCCCACAAAAGCTGTCATGTTCCCAAGCACAATCCAGTCCTGGAGATTCCCTCTTTGCAGTCAGAATCACAGCAACTTGAAATCCCATCATCAGTGACCTCCACAGTTCTGATGGATGGAGACAGGGTGTCATTCTGAGTTCGTGCTTGAAGCCCACGTCAACTCCTGCCAGAGGCCCCCGAGGGCCACCATGGGCTCAAGCTCCCAGGCCACCCCCATCTAAGGAAACTCAGTGGACACCATCCTCCAGGAGGGAAGACACACATGACTTGCCCCTCGGTCTCCAGTACTTACTTGGCGATCAGCCTCACACTGCAGGACTGATGTTCTATTTCCATTGAACACTCTGAACATTCAAACGTGGGGTGAATGTCCTGAGGTGGCATCCCAAAGGGGAAAAGAACCCGCAGGATTTGGGCCGGACTGCCAGTTGGCACAGAAGCCAGTGTGAAGGAGGCTGGGTTGGCATCTGAGTCAGGGAGCCCGGAGGCCGGGAGTGAGCTGATGCCAGCTGTCCTGGGCACTCACACTCCGTACCTGCAAATCCTAACCCAGCCTGCATGACTCTCACTCAGACGCCCCAGAAATGCTGAGGGTCCTCGCCCTCTTATCAGCACACACATGATCCCATTTACCGAGGAGTTAGGAGTGCTGCTCTGTCTCTTTGTCTAGCTCAGCTCAGAGGCAGAGCCTGAAACCACACAGGCGGAAATTCCACCTGTGTCATCCTGTTGGGATAAAGCCAGCCCAGGACACCAGATAGTCCTGTCACCCAGACCCCATGGTCTTTGGGACCGACCGTGGGAACCATTCACAGCCTCTAGGAGGCACCACAAGGCCATGCGGTGGAAATTTCGTGGAAAGAGTAACCCAGTCGGACCAGCAACACCAGCTCAGAGAAACCCAAGATCACACCTCTTCCCTTTTCACCCCCATTCACACTGAAAGAGGAAGTGCGAGAGACCTGAAAAGCCCATGTCACAGGTGCCCGTGCTCAGAGCAGTCGGCCTTCCTGGTCCAGGGCTCTCTGCTCAGACAAGCTGGCCCAGACACTGCTCTCGAAGTCCCCGCTCCACAGAAAGCAGCCCCTTCATTCACGATGACATCCTCGTGGGGGACACCCAGCGTCCTTTCCTGCCTGTGGGGTCCCCACCACCAAGGAGGGAACAGCCACGCCGGACACAAGGGCGGTAGTTGTCTTGCTCGCTTTTCTCCAAGCCCCTAGGCACAGCCTTCCCCAGGGACCAGCTCTACATGCCCCAGGGCGGCTTGAAAGGGCAGCCTTGGTGCGGGCCAGGCATGGGTGTCCAATGTGCCCCGGCCCCACCCGTGAGCAGGGCTCTGCCTCGCCAGGAAGGCGAAAGTGGCGGAGCTGGGCCCGGGGACTCCGCACAGAGGAAGCAAACCTCACAGCGGCCTTTCCCTGCCCAGCCGTCCACCAGGCCCGAGTACGCGGTGCTGTCTCCGGAAACCGACGGGCGGCCTCGCTGAGGGTTCGCGGAGGACCCGGGCCGCCGCTCCCGCAGGGCGACGCTGACGCCCCGCCCGTCTCCAGGCAACGCCAGAGACAGCGGCGCGCGGGGGGTGATGGGTAGCGTAGCCCTCCCCTTTCTCCACGGCCGGGTCCAGTGCCCTAGACTACACTTCCCAGGCCGCTCCGCGTACGCCGCAGATCTCGCGAGAATTCTAGGCCGGAACACATCTGTCAAGGGCGGGCTCTCGCGGCAACCGCCGGGAGTTGTAGTTTGAGGCTAGGAGCCGAGCTCCCTAGCGCCGGGTTGGGGCGGCAGAGAAACTACAAGTCCCAGGGGGCGCGGCGTGACCGCCTGGAGGGCGGGGGGTACGAAAGAGGACCCTGGAGGGCGC